TGCTCTCAGTGTCTTCTCACAGATTGTATAAATTAGAAAATGCGAAAGAGCTCCTTGTGAAAGAGCCTTGTGAGCATTACTGCGTTTTGAAGAATAAGGGTGATAAAGTTACAGGTATATGGGACTTGTCAACCTATGTCTCAATGTGACGGGCGTAGTGGCAATACCAATGAGATCTTTGTAATTTTTAGTTCTACGAATTAAAATGACACTACAAACATTATTACGTATGTTTATTACACATCCTGAAAAATCGTATGAAACACATACGAGATACTAAATTCACTGTAAAGCAAAGGTATACCTTAAAAAAAGTCAGCACTGGCTCTGCCCTTAACGTTCGGTAACAATTTTATACAGCACCTCGGTTTTACTTTTTATTTTGGGGTCGGTGTATAGATTTAACACGAACGGGCGAGGGGCGGGGTCGCGGGTTGCGGGGGTCGAGGCGAGATGAAATGAAATAAATTTCAGAGAGTTGCAGCCGATGTGACATGACATGTTCGACGCGGAAATCTAGTTTTAGGGGTGTCCTAAATATGTACATAGTTATCGACAAAATTTTAGAAAGATAACCAATCATAACGAACCGCATAATTTACGAAAAGTACCTACCAAAGAAAAAAGAATAGAAGCAGTAATGAAGGGAAGCAGGTTGCCGTTGAGGTAAAAAGACACTAGGAGATATCGAGGAGATGTAACAGCGTCTCTGTGTGATTAGATGTGCTGCAATCAGTAAGAAAGAAGAATGGAAGCACTAGTGAAAAAATACATGTTGTCGTTGGCGTAATGCAGTGTTTATTCGAAAATGTGGCAGGTTACTTTATTTTTTTAGTTCGATTTGAAAATAAAAAATAAGTCCCGGTAACGACCAGGTTTTGTCAAAAAAATGTTTTATCATTCTATTATTTCAATATCCTACTATCGAGGCACCGACGTTGATTTTGCGTTTTTGTTTTCATAAACATTAGTTGAAAAAATTTTTTGTTTATTAGAGTATGACTTAAATCAATATTAAACTGGTTACAATTATTAAACTTTCAGCCATTTGCCAAATCTTTAAAAAAATCATTTTGTTTACATACTATAAAAGATGTTAATTTAATTGATATATTATGAACGAACATATCGTGCGCCTATGACAGTTATTTAGTGCTATTTAGATATTGCAGTGCTTTTCAATTGCAAAGATCTGAGAGACACTGCCACTGTGCATGTCACCCTGAGACGCAAATTTGACATGTCTCACGTGCCGGTAATTTCCAAAACTCCTTACGCTTCAAAGCTGGAACGGAACAATGCTCACATTACTGCTCAGCAGCAGAAACAGGTAAGGCGGCATTACATCCTTAGACGAACTCTTAAAAAACTCTTCTTTGTTTAATTTTGATTTTTTTTTCAACAAAGACTGAGTAAGGCTGTGTTAAAAGACATTAATTTAATCAAATCAAATCAAATCATTTATTTGCATGTCACAGTTACAGTACATTTTCAAATAGGCAATTTAAGGTGTTATGTCATTGTATAGGATCATGTGACGCCCTGTAAGGGCATGGCAAATTACAGAGGGGCATTTATAAATTATACTAACAAATTTTTATCAACAATGTCAATGCATGCATTAAATTCGTTATGATGTTAATACGTACTTAAGCTATCATTCATTCAATATT